TGCGGAGCCTGGGGATGCTGAGCCTGAGGGTGCGGAGCTTGGGGGTGCTGAGTCTGAGGGTGCGGAGTCTGGGGGTGCTGAGCCTAGGGGTACTGCTTCTTCTGGAGGTCCTGCGGGTGCCTCGCCACGACTGTCTCCCCGGCCGGAGCCTCTCTCCCAGCAGTAGCTGCGCGAGTGGTTTGCTCAGCGCACACACCTTCGGGGTGGAGCTTCCGGAGCTGGAGGCTCTGCCGCTGGAGGCACTTGAGCTGGAGGTGCTGGAGCTACTTGTCTTGGAGGTGCTGGAGTTCCTGCTGGATCTGGAAGTACCGGAGGTGTTGGAGCTGCTGGTCTTGGAGGTGCTCGTACTAGGAGTACTGGAGCTGCCGGGGCTGGTGGTTTTGGGGGCGCATGAGCTGGAGGAGCTGGAGCTGGAGACCCTAGCGCTGGAGGCGCTGGGGCTGGAGGCACTGGAGCTGGAGGAGCTGGAGCTAGAGACCGTGGCGCTAGAGGCGCTGGAGCTGGAGGCACTGGCGCTGGCGGCGCTGGAGCTGGAGGAGCTGGAGCTGGAGGCAATGGCGCTGGGGGCACTTGAGCTGGAGGCGTTGGAGCTGTTGACCCTGGAGCTAGAGGTGCTGGCGCTGGGGTGCTGCGTCTCACAGTACTAGTGCTGGAGGCACTATGCAGCGGCGCCCGTTTTTAGTTCTACCGCCGCTATCGTCTCTGCCGCCACCTGACTCGGTCCTTCGCCAGGTTCTTAGTCTCCCGACTTCTACTGGCCTTCCTCCTAGCTTACTGAGTCCACCGCCTCGCCACTCGCAGCCACAGTTACAGCCACGCTCCCCACTGCCTGCTCCTTCTCCTTACGCATAGCAGACAGACTCTTTTACAGAGCGTCGTGCGCCTGAGTCTCATCCTGCCTCGCCTGCTTGCTCTGTTCGCACTGGTCGTCGGGTTCCTCGTTCGCGTCCTCCTCCTGTCCCCGACACTCACGTTATGGCACTTCGTCCTTCCTCTGTTCCACTGCGAGTTCCTCTGCCGCCTCCTCCTGATTCCTCTCTTCCTGCCGTTCCTGACCCTGAGTCTTACCTAGCTCGTGCTGCCAGTCCCACTGTCTCTCGTCTTCTCCCCACTGCTGTCACTGACCCTTCTTTTGAGTCCACTGTTGCGTCTGCCCTAGTTGCTGAGCTTGTTGACTTTGCTGCTGCCTATTGTCTCGACCACGCCACTAGTCTTGTTGCTGAGTCTGAGTCTAACTGTCCTCCGTCCGTCGGGGGTGAGTGTGCTCTTGGCACGGACGTCCTTGAGGACAGGCAGGAGGACTTTGAGTGCTTTGCAGCTACTGTAGCTCATCTCGTGGCCATGCTGCTTGCATTTGAGGGAGACCCGGATGCACCAGACATCCCGACCCCGTGCTCTTACGTAGAGGCGATTACGGGTCCCTACTCCTCTCAATGGTAGACAACCATGGACGCAGAGATGGCATCCTGGAAGTCCACAGGCACCTACGTTGACGCAGTTGCCCCTTCTGGGGCGAACATAGTTGATGGCATGTGGATTTTCAGGGTGAAGCGGCCGCCGGGTTCTCCGCCTGTCTTCAAGGCTTGTTACTTTGCACGAGGCTTCTGTCAGCGACAAGGAGTTGACTTCTTCCGGACCTCCCCTACCCTGAAGATGACCACTCTTCGGGTGTTGATGCACGTCGCAGCTCAGCGTGACTACGAGTTGCACTCTATTGACTTCAGCACAGCTTTCTTGCAGGGCAGCCTGCACGGGGAGATCTGGCTACGCCGCCCACCTGGCTTCACTGGGTCGTTTCCTGCAGGTACCCAGTGGAGCCTCCGGCGGACAGTCTACGGTCTCCGTCAGGCGCCTCGCGAGTGGCACGACACACTAAGGACGACGCTTGCGGCTCTTGGGTTTGCTCCTTCGACTGCTGACCCGTCGCTGTTTCTACGCACCGACACTTCGCTGCCGCCGTTATACGTCCTCGTGTACGTCGACGACTTGGTCTTTGCCACTGCTGACACTGAGGCACTGGCCCTTGTGAAGCCGGAGCTGCAGAAGAGACACACCTGCACTGACCTGGGTGAGCTGCGCAACTATCTTGGCTTGCAGATCACCCGGGACAGAGCACGGTGCACCATCACCCTGACTCAGTCACACATGGTGCACCAGGTCCTTCAGCCCTTCGGCTTCCGGTACTCCTCGTCACAGTCCACTCCTCTGCCTACCGGTCATTCGCTCTCAGCTCCACCTTCGGACGAGTCCGTAGAGCCGAGTGGCCCGTATCCAGAGCTTGTGGGCTGCCTCATGTACCTGGTGACCTGCACTCGACCTGACCTTGCCTACCCTCTTAGCATCCTGGCATGCTACATTGCGCCCGGGAGACACCGACCAGAGCACTGGGAGGCCGCTAAGAGGGTGTTGCGCTAATTGTGCAGTACTTCGGGCATGGGGCTAGTGCTTGGAGGACGGGGTCCAATTGTCCTCACTGGACACGCAGACGCTTCTTGGGTTGACGACTTGGCTACGCAGCGGTCGTCACAGGGTTACACCTTCAGCCTCGGTTCCGGCTCTGTTTCTTGGCGTTCTACCCGCTCGTGTTCGGTTCTCAGTTCCAGTTGTGAGGCTGAGATCTACGCAGGGGCCATGGCTGCACAGGAGTTACGCTGGCTCACCTACCTGCTGACCGAATTGGGAGAGCGGCCTCGTTCTTCTCCAGTTATGTACGTAGACAACAAGGCCATGATTGCCTTGTGTCAGGAGCACAGACTGGAGCACAGAACAATGCACATTGCTCTGCAGTACTTCCTTGCTCGAGAGTTACAGCAGCGTGGTCAGCTTCGTCTTGCTTACGTGGCCACTCGGGCCAAGACTGCTGATATATTCACCAAGGCACTTCCGCCTGGTGATCATCAGCGTTTCTCTACTGTTTAGGCCTTGTGCCTACTTTGCCTCACTTGCTCACTGCGTGATTCTGCTATACTGTGATCTATATATATTCCTGCATGCTTATTCTTGCTAGGCTTTTATCACTGTACTGTTTGTTCTGTTTTATATAACTCTGCATGTGAACTGGCCTTGTGGCCATTTGCTTGTGCTCGGAATGTGTGGTGCCGCTCCTCACTCCTCGTTTCCGCCGACCACTGCTCCTCTACAGACTCTCCACATGGACGTGTACGGCCCAGCCTGAGTCCGTGTACAGGACCACGAGCGCTTCTTCCTCCTGCGTCAGTGTGATGGTGCGAGCGGCTCTGTCCCGGGTGATCTGCAGGCCAAGGTAGCGCTGCAGCTCACCCAGGTCAGTGCACTTGTGTCTCTTCTGCAGTTCGGACTTCACCTGAGCCAGGGCTGCCCTGTCTGCTGTAGCAAACACCAAGTCGTCGACGTAGACAAGGATAAAGAAAGGAGTAGAACCCGCTCGAACAAACAGCGACGGGTCGGCGGAGGACGGGCTGAACCCAAGGTCACAAAGCGTGGAGCGAAGAGTGTCGTGCCACTCACGGGGCGACTGGCGGAGACCGTAGACTGGTCGCCTCAGGCTCCACTGGGTCCCAGGTGGGAAGGTGTCAGTGAAGCCAGGAGGACGGCGCAGCCAGATCTCCTCGTGCAGTCGGCCCTGGAGGAACGCAGTGGAGAAGTCAAGGGAGTGCAGCTCGTAGTCTCGCTGCGCTACTATGTGGAGTAACACCCGAAGAGTAGTCATCTTCGGGGTCGGGGCGAAGGTCTGGAAGAAGTCAACTCCCTCACGCTGACTGAAACCCCTAGCCACGTAGCGCGCCTTGAACACCGGCGGTGCTCCAGGCGGCCGCTTCACCTTGAAGAGCCACATGCCATCGACTACGTTCGCCCTGGGAGGGGGAACTGCGTCGACGTAGGTGCCTGTGGATCTCCAAGACGCCAACTCTGAGTCCATAGCCGCTTTCCACTGAGAGGCCCACGCCCCTGACACTGCCTCGCGGTAAGTGCGAGGAGTCGGTATGTCAAGGGCGTCGGGGTCTCCCTCAGGGGAGAGCAGCATGGCACACACAGAGGGAGAAGCGGTTGCCCAGTACTCCAGCTCAGACTCTCTGTCCTCTAGGACGTCACAGCCAAGGGCAAACCCACCCCCGACGGACAGAGGACGGTAGGGAGGAGCTGGCACCACACGGGTGGCGTAGTCAAGGCGGCTGGCGGCAGCAAACTCAGCGACAGCGGCAGTGAGAGCCGAGACAGACGACGGAGGGAAACGAGGGTCGGTGACAAGAGTGGTGAGGACACGTGCGGCAACAGGACGAACAGCGCGGTAGTAGTCAGAGATAGGAGTGGGGAGGGCAGGTAGAGAGGACGGAGGAGGAGACGGGAGAACGGACACAGGAGAAGGAGAACACTCGCACTGGATCCCTGTGGCACACATACTCTCATGCGGTTGGTTGCCTTGCACACGTGCACATGAACACACTAACACACTAACGCATGAACACATGAACACACGAACACATGAACACATGAACACATGAACACATGAACACATGAACACATGAACACACGAACACACTAACACACTAACGCATGAACACATGAACACATGAACACAGGAACACATGAACACACTAACACACTAACAGATGAACAGATGAACACATGAACACATGAACACATGAACACATGAACACACTAACACACTACATGAACACATGAACACACTAACACATGAACACATGAACACATGAACGCATGAACGCATGAACACAATAACACACGAACACATGAACACACGAACACACTAACAGATGAACACATGAACACATGAACACATGAACACACGAACACACTAACACACTAACACATGAACACACGAACACACGAACACACTAACAGATGAACACATGAACACATGAACACACGAACACATGAACACATGAACACATGAACACATGAACACATGAACACATGAACACACGAACACACAAACACATGAACACATGAACACATGAACACACGAACACCAAATAAACACACGAGTGCAAGTCTCATGCATGCACCTGTGAGTCCCTCACACCCACCCACCCAATCCAATCACCCACCCGCACCCTCAACCACTGCACTGTCCCCGCTCGCCCCTTGGGTGCGTGGCAGGTGCGGCAAGGAGTGCCCCAACAGGTTCCCCGGGTGTGCGTGCAAGGGCAAGTGCAACACCACCACGTGCATCTGCCGCCGCGCCGGCCGTGAGTGCGACCCCGACACCTGCCGGCACTGCATGGGGTGAGAGAGAGGGGCAGTGCACGGGGTGAGAGAGGGGCAGTGCACGGGGTGAGAGAGAGGGGCAGTGCACGGGGTGAGAGAGAGGGGCAGTGCACGGGGTGAGAGAGAGGGGCAGTGCACGGGGTGAGAGAGAGGGCCACTGCACAGGGTGGGAGCCCTCACACGTACCTCTGTATCCCGCCGTGTGTCATGCCTCATCTCAAGCCGAACCCCCTCCCCTGCCCCTCTGCCCCTCTCTGCCCCCCTCTGCCCCTCTCTGCCCCCCTCTGCCCCCCTCTGCCCTACCCTGCCCTCCCTTGCCCTCCCTTGCCCTCCTCTGCCCTCCTCTGCCTGCGTGTGCCCGCATGCGCAAGGCAGCACGGAGCCACAGTCGTGCTGCAACATGCAGCTCTCCCGCTGCCACTCCGTGCAGGTGCCATGCCATGGGATGATGAGGGAGGGAGGGAGGGAGGGAGGGAGGGAGGGAGGGAGGGAGGGAGGGAGGGAGGGAGGGAGGGAGGGGGGGAGGGAGGGAGGGAAGGGTGTATATTACAGATAAGAGAATAAGGAAGTAGAGAATGGGAGAGACCGGATTACCATCCTTCCACCTGAATGTCCCTGTTTCTGTTTTTTGCTATCTGCTACTCCCTCTGCCTTATGTTGCTCTCTTCGGTTGTTTTCCTTGCTCTTACCTATCTGCCATGCTCCCTGCCATCCACCTGGTGTCCTGCACCTGTCGTGCCAGCAGGTCGAGGTGAAGTGCTCGCCTCTAGACGGCTGGGGAGCTTTCCTGCTGGTGCGTGCCTGCTGTGCTTATTGTGCCTGTTGTGCTGTCATTTCACATGCACCGTGTCGTATTCAAATGCTGAGGAGAGCGAACGGCCTTGGTGAGAGATAGCCTGCCAGGCAACAAATCCTCTTGCTCGCTCACTGTGGCCTCCCTGCCTTGCGTGCCTCACGCTCAATCCTCGTGCTGTGTGTGGGTGCACAATGGGGAGGGCAGCACGATGCTGGGCGGGGAGAGCTGGTGGGGGAGTACACGGGGGAGGTGCTCACAGAGGAGCAGTCCACAAGGCACGTCTTCGAGTTCGACCTCACCAACCAGGTGCCCTGCCCTGCATGTGCTGCACTGTATGTGCTGCCCTCCATGTGCTGCACTGTATGTGCTGCCCTGCATGTGCTGAATTGTATGTGATGCCCTGCATGTGCTGCACTGTATGTGCTGCCCTGCATGTGCTGCATTGTATGTGCTGCCCTGCATGTGCTGCACTGTATGTGCTGCCCTGCATGTGCTGCACTGTATGTGCTGCCCTGCATGTGCTGCACTGTATGTGCTGCCCTGCATGTGCTGCACTGTATGTGCTGCCCTGCATGTGCTGCACTGTATGTGCTGCCCTGCATGTGCTGAATTGTATGTGCTGCCCTGCATGTGCTGCACTGTATGTGCTGCCCTGCATGTGCTGCACTGTATGTGCTGCCCTGCATGTGCTGCACTGCATGTGCTGCCCTGCATGTGCTGCACTGTATGTGCTGCCCTGCATGTGCTGCACTGTATGTGCTGCCCTGCATGTTCTGCACTGTATGTGCTGCCCTGCATGTGCTGCACTTTATGTGCTGCCCTGCATGTGCTGCACTGTATGTGCTGCCCTGCATGTTCTGCACTGTATGTGCTGACCTGCATGTGCTGCACTGTATGTGCTTCCCTGCATTTGCTGCATTGTATGTGCTGCCCTGCATGTGCTGCACTGTATGTGCTGCCCTGCATGTGCTGCACTGTATGTGCTGCCCTACATGTGCTGCACTGTATGTGCTGCCCTGCATGTGCTGCCCTGCATGTGCTGCACTGCATGTGCTGCCCTGCATGTACTGCACTGTATGTGCTGCCCTCCATGTGCTGCCCTGCATGTGCTGCACAGTATGTGCTGCCCTGCATGTGCTGCACTGTATGTGCTGCCCTGCATGTGCTGCACTGTATGTGCTGCCCTGCATTTGCTGCATTGTATGTGCTGCCCTGCATGTGCTGCACTGTATGTGCTGCCCTGCATGAGCTGCACTGTATGTGCTGCCCTGCATGTACTGCACTGTATGTGCTGCCCTGCATGTGCTGCACTGTATGTGCTGCCCTGCATGTGCTGCACAGTATGTGCTGCCCTGCATGTGCTGCACTGTATGTGCTGCCCTGCATGTGCTGCACTGTATGTGCTGCCCCGCATGTGCTGCACTGTATGTGCTGCCCTGCATGTGCTGCACTGTATGTGCTGCCCTGCATGTGCTGCACTGTATGTGCTGCCCTGCATGTGCTGCACTGTATGTGCTGCCCTGCATGTGCTGCACTGTATGTGCTGCCCTGCATGTGCTGCACTGTATGTGCTGCCCTGCATGTGCTGCACTGTATGTGCTGCCCTCCATGTGCTGCCCTGCATGTGCTGCACTGTATGTGCTGCCCTGCATGTGCTGCACTGTATGTGCTGCCCTGCATGTGCTGCACTGTATGTGCTGCCCTGCATGTGCTGCACTGTATGTGCTGCCCTGCATGTGCTGCATTGTATGTGCTGCCCTGCATGTGCTGCACTGTATGTGCTGCCCTGCATGTGCTGCACTGTATGTGCTGCCCTGCATGTGCTGCACTGTATGTGCTGCCCTGCATGTGCTGCACTGTATGTGCTGCCCTGCATGTGCTGCACTGTATGTGCTGCCCTGCATGTGCTGCACTGTATGTGCTGCCCTGCATGTGCTGAATTGTATGTGCTGCCCTGCATGTGCTGCACTGTATGTGCTGCCCTGCATGTGCTGCACTGTATGTGCTGCCCTGCATGTGCTGCACTGCATGTGCTGCCCTGCATGTGCTGCATTGTATGTGCTGCCCTGCATGTGCTGCACTGTATGTGCTGCCCTGCATGTGCTGCACTGTATGTGCTGCCCTGCATGTGCTGCACTGTATGTGCTGCCCTGCATGTGCTGCACTGTATGTGCTGCCCTGCATGTGCTGCACTGTATGTGCTGCCCTGCATGTGCTGAATTGTATGTGCTGCCCTGCATGTGCTGCACTGTATGTGCTGCCCTGCATGTGCTGCACTGTATGTGCTGCCCTGCATGTGCTGCACTGCATGTGCTGCCCTGCATGTGCTGCACTGTATGTGCTGCCCTGCATGTGCTGCACTGTATGTGCTGCCCTGCATGTTCTGCACTGTATGTGCTGCCCTGCATGTGCTGCACTTTATGTGCTGCCCTGCATGTGCTGCACTGTATGTGCTGCCCTGCATGTTCTGCACTGTATGTGCTGACCTGCATGTGCTGCACTGTATGTGCTTCCCTGCATTTGCTGCATTGTATGTGCTGCCCTGCATGTGCTGCACTGTATGTGCTGCCCTGCATGTGCTGCACTGTATGTGCTGCCCTACATGTGCTGCACTGTATGTGCTGCCCTGCATGTGCTGCCCTGCATGTGCTGCACTGCATGTGCTGCCCTGCATGTACTGCACTGTATGTGCTGCCCTCCATGTGCTGCCCTGCATGTGCTGCACAGTATGTGCTGCCCTGCATGTGCTGCACTGTATGTGCTGCCCTGCATGTGCTGCACTGTATGTGCTGCCCTGCATTTGCTGCATTGTATGTGCTGCCCTGCATGTGCTGCACTGTATGTGCTGCCCTGCATGAGCTGCACTGTATGTGCTGCCCTGCATGTACTGCACTGTATGTGCTGCCCTGCATGTGCTGCACTGTATGTGCTGCCCTGCATGTGCTGCACAGTATGTGCTGCCCTGCATGTGCTGCACTGTATGTGCTGCCCTGCATGTGCTGCACTGTATGTGCTGCCCCGCATGTGCTGCACTGTATGTGCTGCCCTGCATGTGCTGCACTGTATGTGCTGCCCTGCATGTGCTGCACTGTATGTGCTGCCCTGCATGTGCTGCACTGTATGTGCTGCCCTGCATGTGCTGCACTGTATGTGCTGCCCTGCATGTGCTGCACTGTATGTGCTGCCCTGCATGTGCTGCACTGTATGTGCTGCCCTCCATGTGCTGCCCTGCATGTGCTGCACTGTATGTGCTGCCCTGCATGTGCTGCACTGTATGTGCTGCCCTGCATGTGCTGCACTGTATGTGCTGCCCTGCATGTGCTGCACTGTATGTGCTGCCCTGCATGTGCTGCATTGTATGTGCTGCCCTGCATGTGCTGCACTGTATGTGCTGCCCTGCATGTGCTGCACTGTATGTGCTGCCCTGCATGTGCTGCACTGTATGTGCTGCCCTGCATGTGCTGCACTGTATGTGCTGCCCTGCATGTGCTGCACTGTATGTGCTGCCCTGCATGTGCTGCACTGTATGTGCTGCCCTGCATGTGCTGAATTGTATGTGCTGCCCTGCATGTGCTGCACTGTATGTGCTGCCCTGCATGTGCTGCACTGTATGTGCTGCCCTGCATGTGCTGCACTGCATGTGCTGCCCTGCATGTGCTGCACTGTATGTGCTGCCCTGCATGTGCTGCACTGCATGTGCTTCCCTGCATGTTCTGCACTGTATGTGCTGCCCTGCATGTGCTGCACTTTATGTGCTGCCCTGCATGTGCTGCACTGTATGTGCTGCCCTGCATGTTCTGCACTGTATGTGCTGACCTGCATGTGCTGCACTGTATGTGCTTCCCTGCATTTGCTGCATTGTATGTGCTGCCCTGCATGTGCTGCACTGTATGTGCTGCCCTGCATGTGCTGCACTGTATGTGCTGCCCTACATGTGCTGCACTGTATGTGCTGCCCTGCATGTGCTGCCCTGCATGTGCTGCACTGCATGTGCTGCCCTGCATGTACTGCACTGTATGTGCTGCCCTCCATGTGCTGCCCTGCATGTGCTGCACAGTATGTGCTGCCCTGCATGTGCTGCACTGTATGTGCTGCCCTGCATGTGCTGCACTGTATGTGCTGCCCTGCATTTGCTGCATTGTATGTGCTGCCCTGCATGTGCTGCACTGTATGTGCTGCCCTGCATGAGCTGCACTGTATGTGCTGCCCTGCATGTACTGCACTGTATGTGCTGCCCTGCATGTGCTGCACTGTATGTGCTGCCCTGCATGTGCTGCACAGTATGTGCTGCCCTGCATGTGCTGCACTGTATGTGCTGCCCTGCATGTGCTGCACTGTATGTGCTGCCCCGCATGTGCTGCACTGTATGTGCTGCCCTGCATGTGCTGCACTGTATGTGCTGCCCTGCATGTGCTGCACTGTATGTGCTGCCCTGCATGTGCTGCACTGTATGTGCTGCCCTGCATGTGCTGCACTGTATGTGCTGCCCTGCATGTGCTGCACTGTATGTGCTGCCCTGCATGTGCTGCACTGTATGTGCTGCCCTCCATGTGCTGCCCTGCATGTGCTGCACTGTATGTGCTGCCCTGCATGTGCTGCACTGTATGTGCTGCCCTGCATGTGCTGCACTGTATGTGCTGCCCTGCATGTGCTGCACTGTATGTGCTGCCCTGCATGTGCTGCATTGTATGTGCTGCCCTGCATGTGCTGCACTGTATGTGCTGCCCTGCATGTGCTGCACTGTATGTGCTGCCCTGCATGTGCTGCACAGTATGTGCTGCCCTGCATGTGCTGCACTGTATGTGCTGCCCTGCATGTGCTGCACTGTATGTGCTGCCCTGCATGTGCTGCACTGTATGTGCTGCCCTGCATGTGCTGCACTGTATGTGCTGCCCTGCATGTGCTGCACTGTATGTGCTTCCCTGCATGTTCTGCACTGCATGTGCTGCCCTGCATGTGCTGAATTGTATGTGCTGCCCTGCATGTGCTGCACTGTATGTGCTGCCCTGCATGTGCTGCACTGTATGTGCTGCCCTGCATGTGCTGCATTGTATGTGCTGCCCTGCATGTACTGCACTGTATGTGCTGCCCTGCATGTTCTGCACTGTATGTGCTGCCCTGCATGTGCTGCACTGTATGTGCTGCCCTGCATGTGCTGAATTGTATGTGCTGCCCTGCATGTGCTGCACTGTATGTGCTGCCCTGCATGTGCTGCACTGTATGTGCTGCCCTGCATGTGCTGCACTGTATGTGCTGCCCTGCATGTGCTGAATTGTATGTGCTGCCCTGCATGTGCTGCACTGTATGTGCTGCCCTGCATGTGCTGCACTGTATGTGCTGCCCTGCATGTACTGCACTGTATGTGCTGCCCTGCATGTGCTGCACTGTATGTGCTG